CACTGATTTCAGTGCCCCAGCCCTATAGAGGCTCCTAATGTTCCAGGTACCAAATCTCATGTCCTTTTTCAATTGCCGTGGTCGTGCCAAAGAGTCCGTCCTGATCCGAGGCTTGGTTGATTTTTTCGTAACACCTATTTTTTTTTTAAAGGTGAAAGGTTGTTAGCCCTAACCCCAACCCCCAACCTGGAGGACCAGGGTATCACTCTTAGTCTAGCGCATCTCCTTAGACCTGTCCGGCTTGGGTGACCCTACCATGAGCCGAAGCTCAGGCCGGCATAGCCCTAAGGGTCATTTGAGCACGCAAGCCTCCTCACCCGGCAGATTGCCTTCGACAAGGTGGTGATACCTTAGTTGTAATTTCTGTTATAAATGTCAACTTATATGTAACGTTGATCTTGTCATACTTCATTTACTAACAGTTTCACTCACGGGGCAGGCCAATTTCGGGGACTAAACTCACTTCAGGACACCATCAGGCAATGCCACCAACACCCAAGCTTTTCTCCAGCGTGCTTAGTTCGTTGGTGCCTAACCCCCAGCGTCTGTTGCTACAGGGGCATTGCCCCACGGCTCATCTGTCCCCTGACCTGGCCACCAGGCCTAGACGCCCCTGTGTTCCACAACATAGCTTACATCAGTCCAAGAATGACATAAGTTAATTACTGAAACAAACTGTCACACAACACTTACCTTGAATCCCATAATGCAACAACGGCCTACGAGAAGTGGCATGAGAAATACCTCTGGAATATCAGTGCACTCCAAAGGGTACACTTTTTCCTTATTATCTCTTTCTTAGATTCACATATTATCCCCATACTTTGTTCTCGTATACTCTGAAACCGCGTTATATTTAGATCATCCTGATGTAAGTGCGAAGGTTTGTTGAGATAGAACGAGCACTTCCCAAGTTATGAGGGAACTCGTTAAAAGATGGGCATGCTGGAATTTCAGCCGAAAAAAGTGAGGGGGGGAATGTACCATTTGGGACATGTGTTTCAACGTAAAAGAAAAAATAGATCTTACAGAACTAAGATATGAAGGTTTTGATTGGATTAAATTGGCTCAGTACACGGACCAGTAGCAGGTTCTATATAGTAAAGACGGTAATAAAGCTTAGGGCTCCGTTAAAGATAGAGAACGTCTTAACTAGTTTGACAAACAGCTTCTCAGAAAGGGCTCTGCTCCATGGAGGTAGTTGTGTAATAAAAAACAATATATGCAGCTATAAACATATTGACTGTGACAGATGCTTACTTCTCTCATCGCTGAAATAGCTACTTCAATTTTCTGTTATGTCTACATTCCTTTTCTCCTACCAGGGACTCGTATTTCTGTACAGTTTCACTAACTTTCTCTTATACGAAATTCAATTAAAGTCTAAAGAGGTCAGGAGTTAGAAGCTACTGCAGGAAAGTATATATAATATCCTATAAGACGTTGCTTTTCTCGCTTTGAGTAAAAACTGTCTTAAAAAGGACGCGCGGAGGCCAAACTGTAGAACTTGAGCCTTTTTGCTACCTGAGCGACGGGGTCTTCACAGAGTCCTTGCTGCGACTCTGCGAGTGACAAGCAATGAAAATGTTTCTTAAGGTTTTGAAAAGAAATTGACGTGTTTATTTACTCTAACAAATTTACTGCTTAAACATTTACGTTTCATGTGTGAACACCCATACATTATACGTCTAGTTTCTCAGTTTATTCCTATAGTTCAGAAATGAAGCTGTTTTCACTGAGTAGAAACGTGTTATAATTTCAAATGGAGCGAAGGAATTTCTTGTGTGGGTGTTTCTGATGTTCACAAAGCTCATCTACATTAGGTTTATAAGCGGAACGAAGTGGAGTGAGGGGGGCGGGGGCGAGGAAGGTGCAGCGTCTTTAAAAAATAACAATTACCGTTTAGAAATAGAATTCTTGGAGGAGAACCTGAGTTACAGTTCTTAATGAAAGCCCGTTCGGAGGTATGACGAAGTGATATGAAGAGATCGCATTCGAATTCAAGAAATGTTGCAGTCAATGGGATGGTTGGCGGAAATCAAAACGTCGAGATTTTCCATGTTCTATTGGGCCCGCAAGTCTTAAAAGCATTGCATCCGCTCCCCCACTATTTTAAATTAATTTAAGATTTGGTGAGGTGTGTTAATACCCGTTCGTTATTATTCTGGTGCAAAGTGATTTAATTTACAAGGTGTATTTTTTCACTTTCGTTTTTGCTGTGACTTCTATTGTCGAGTGCTTTTTTAATGACAATTTTGAATAAAATATGTCAGACGCTCCTTAATTTAAAAAATTAGTCGAAAAAGCTACACGACATTGTAGGAGCACTTTCAACATTTCAGGTGTAGATACTATTAATATATTGAAAACGGATAGACAGACGGATACAACAAGCATCCATATTATGTCTGCATTATACGTATTTTATGTGAAGAACGCATAAAAGTGAGAGACAACCTGAAGTTGGGTTTGGGAGTGTTACGACTTAAGAGAAATGAAGTGACAGACGTCTGGAGAAGAATAAACAGCGAGGCAGGCAGCGTTTACTCTTCTCCAAGTGTTATTAAGATGATCGAATAAATGAGAATGAGATGAGTCAGACATGTAGCAAGCATGGGTAAGATAAGAAATGCATACAAACTATTGGTTGTAAAACCTCAAGGGAAGAGACCACCTAAGCGTAGGTTGGAGCATTTAATATTATTAAAATGAATCTTAGGGAATATGTTAAAGCATGTGAACAGGATACATCTGGCTCAGGATAGGGACCGTAGTTGGATTCTCGTGAACACAGTTCTGGTTCCATGAAAAAGCGTAAATTTCTTGAACAGCTGAGCATACAGTCAGCTTCCCAAGAAGGACTCTGTTCAGTGGAATTTGTTACAAAATTCAGCTACTTTTTCCGATATAATACAGCGAATAATGCGATTACTTGCACGGTACAGAACATTTTAAAACTGAGAAACTGCAACGACAACGTCGTCCATGACCGTGACGTGTTAGCGAAGTATCTCAGCCAGTTAAATTGGAGAGCCTTTACTGTAAGTACTTGTGTCCCCTGCGGGGTTCCTAACGTTTTACATGCTCCAGAGGCCCTGATCTATAGCTCAGCGTCTGAAATGAGACTGCTGTTGCACACAGATAACAAACAAAGCTGAAAGAGACAGCACTAGAATGGTTAAAATCTTAATATTCAGTCATGATTTCTGAAGTAAATCACAGGTGAAATGTACTTCGACATAAACACAAATCATTCTCTTGTAAGAACAGACAGAAAGTCTCTGCAGTTTGGAATCAGTAAGCCATTTTATAAAACAGAATTTTCAAACCTATTCTAATTCACTGATGGGTAAAAACTGGACTCTCGGAGAGCTGGTACGCCATATGTACACAAAATAAGAAAAAAATATCGAAGGAATTGCTGAAAGAGATTCAGACATCAGAAACACGGAATTCAAATATGAATAAATGTTCTAGAACGAAACTAACTTAGAGGTTTATAATATTACATGTGCAACTTCAGACTACAGAAATAAACGGCGAGAACCAATTACACGAACGGAAGAAACAAGCATCCAAAAGAGAATTATTAGGGAAAAGGGACGGTACACAGGTAGACAGATTAGGAGATTTTACTAGGGGTGAAAAAGGCCAATGGACCATTTGATCGAGTCGATTGTGATGGGAATATTTCGATGTGCGTGCAGACTCACCAAGTTGATGGTGACAATGAGGTCGTGCTGTTGATGTCTCTGCCCTTTCTTCGTCTTCTTTCCCCCCTTAACCGATGCGGCTTTCGGCTGAGTCTTCACCTGCCCCTTCTGAGCCGTTGGTGGTTTCTGAGTAGGTTTCTGAGCCCCTTTTGTTAAAAAAAGCCGGCAACTGGTGTCTTCTGGCCCGCCTGTCCCTTCTGGTTGACGTGGCCGCCTCCATCCGCAGGCTTATTGCGGGCCTGAAATGAGACCAGTGCAATGGTATACAGCATGCCGTCGTTAATACAACGGTCATGTCGTCCAAACCTTTGTCCGTAGTTACCGAAATAGCAAATATACGATTGTGAACGCTTACCGCAGAAAAATAAGCTTAGTTCCTGATACTTAATCAAGAATCTTAACCTAGGCACAAAATTGAGGTGATCGATTAACTTCACGCCTTGGGCCCCCAAGGATAAAACGCCGAAATCCATTGAATGGGAGGCAGTTTGAAACGTTATAGTAAAGAGAAAAAATGTACTTTACGGGAATCGAAATCAGATCTCATTCGCCCATCTCCTCAACCACTGGAGTACGCACAGTTTACCAGTACTGCGCTTAAGAAGAATATGTATCACGGCAGAGGTTCACAAATTACTTGATATCACCAAGAATGAACAAATATTTTGTCTACTGAAACGGAATTATCTAGTATGAGATTTCAAGGCATAGGCCTATGACCACGGTCTCTCTTGAAGTTTACAAAATAACAATGTCCTGAGGCGAAATAAGTTGGCTTATATGGGTTCCTCTCTTTCTAGAAATATTTTCATAACAGAAGAAAACTTATTCCGGAACTCATTACTACAAGCTACATTTCACAAAATGTCGACTCGCAATATTTTACACACTGAAGAATATCAAGAGAAAAGTAGCAGGAAAATAAAACACAAAGTTGCTGCAAACTTTTAACGATGCTAGTTCAAGTTTGCTGCCACCTTCCATACGGTCCTTTTGGAAAAGAAATGTCTGTTGCTATGGTTATAAATAGTGAATAAGGGACATGAGAAAATAAATATCATATATATTATAATATACTTGTAATTGCCTGCAAGAATTGCATGTAAGCATAGAAAATAATAAAAGGCATACATGAAATTTATAGCAGGGAACAGGATGTCGACATTTTGGGTCCCATGGAAGTAGCGTAGTTCTTGGCGAACTTACTACAATGTTGCACGAGGTCAAAATCCGTGGATATAAGAAAGTAATGTTAAGAGTACCGAATGACAGACACATCTCTATTAACTTCTCGTTAAATGTCAACGGGAATTCTCCTCACTTGTGCTGAAATGTTACAAGGTATTTTTCTTTACAAGTAACTCACGAAAGAAATTTTGTGAACGCTACAGAAAATAATTGATAATTTCAATTTAAATAAAATTCTGTTCCGGGCAGTGACCACTTGTGAATGCATGAAAATAGAAATTTAACGTATACTTACTAAAATCTTGGTGGAAATTATACAGGGTCTCATAATTAAACAAAATATACTAAAACATTTTGAGACTTCAGTGAAAGATACACCACCAACACTCAAGAGGATTACGACAGACTGAATTTCACATTTCTTCCATATATGCTTTTTACTGCCATTTTTTTCATTAAGCTCTACCTCTCCTTCTGTCTGTCTATCTGTCTGCCTCTCTTTTCTCACTCTCTGTGCCACGTTTGCCGTTTTGTACCAATACGACATCATCAGTCTTGTCTTTCTGTCCTGTGATTAAGTACAGCGCTCACAAGAACATAGACACAGTCTATGTAAAGAGACGACATTAAACGAAAAGTGAGTGCCAAAAGCCTTCATTCTGATGAACGAGATGAAAAGAAAGTCTAGTTCCTTTTCAGGGGCAACAGAAATGCAAAAGCGTTAGTTTTCCAAGAGGCGAAACTGAACAGTCCCAATTAGTTTCTCTTCTTTATGGAGTGAAATAGAGGGAAAAAGACACACTCCACGTTATAATATTCAGGACAGGAGAGAAATGAAGACACTCAATTAAATTAAATCAATTTAAGCCCGTAAAAACAAGTTTTTAAAATAAATAAAAATGCAATAAATCTCAAAACCATGAAACGTGTTTCATTTGACAGAACATATGAACCCAAGATCACGCGACCACGAGTTGTTCTCTCTTTACGATTTAGGTAAGCTTCCTAGTTCAGAGAATCGATACTACAGTGGTGGATATATTCGATAAACACAATTTTTCTTGAATAGGAGAATAAGCCAAATGCAGGGAAGCGAGAACAGAACAGACTAAAGCAAGGACAAACAGCGATGGTCTGAACGAGATTTGAACCCTTGGTCCCAGGGTACGAGCTATCTAAGACAGGAATGTGAGGCTAAATGATACGAATTTAAATGATAAACTGAAAGAATGGCATCTATACAAATCAACAAAAGCAGTCTGTACATTCTCAGTTACTAAAGATTGCAGAACCTAGAACACGAACGGAAAATTATGGCTTGTTAGCGGAAATACACTCACTGTCGATATAATGCGACTCCCAACGGGTTGCACTGCTTCTCTGTAAAAGTGAGATTTGTTCATCTTGAAGATGGACGTGTGAAGAATCTCCGAAACATAAACAATACAGCTCAACTCTACACCACGCCGTCACCCAGAAAGAAGGTCCACTTTAAGTAGACACACATTCTTCTACCCTGGCGAAAGTGTGAGGCAGGAAGACGACGAAATACAGACGCAAAGTATTGTTGCCAGAACGTCAGCAGAGCGGAGACAAAAGTCAGGAGCACAAAGCATGGCAAAGACAATGAATAAACCACTTCACTATTTCACAGTGACACTGGCTGAATGAAATGAGCGATATGAAGGCTGGTCCACAGGAAATTACGAGCGGAGCATTAAACAGATCTATCAGAAACCCAGCAAAATTTCAGTACGTTCTTGCGTGTACATTATTCAGTTTCAAAAATAAAACATTTCTGTACATACCATACAATGGAACACTGCGAAACCTATCACATAAAATGCGTCGTTAGCCAGCTGCATCCATCCAGGCGCAGTAAACGTTTATACGCTTACCGCGAGCGTCTAAGAAGAAGAAGAAGAAGGAGACGAAGAATAAATTTAAAACGCGTTTTTTTATGAGATCTCATGTAGGTGACAATGCCAATGATGGTCTTTTGGGTTGTAATGCCGTGTGGATTCGTAGGTAGATAAAAACGTTTCTGAGGAACACTCCGTCTCCATCTCGGTTATTTGATTAATTCACTTTAAAACGCTCCATCAGAAATAAATCCTACGATCCTGGGAACGCAACAGGCAATTTTATAGGTACTGTGCCACATATAACGAAATGTTTAATAACAAGAGACAGACTGGGATTGTATATTAATGTGTGTGTGTGTGTGCGTGCGTGCATGGCTGGGATTGTATATTATTGTGTGTGTGTGTGTGCGTGCATGAGATACGAAAGCGGAAGGTTTAAATATATGCATGCACGACAAATGCCATGCTTCAACGTCATGAACAACTACCGTTTGTTGGTTACGCAGTCTCTCGATGCAAATGCGCCCTACAGTTTATTGTAATGGCGTAGATGCGCTGGGGGGCTTTGTTCTGTTCCCGGGCTTCCGTGAGATATGCAGAGGTAGAACAGCAGAGAAAGCCGAGTGATAATTGTGTACCGTCGAGCTCAACTGTGTGCCAGCCTTCACTATAGATTATTCAGACTGGAATGTGAAATATTTAGAGAAAAACCGAGGTGGTGGAACGTATTTAGTTTCGTTCTGCTGGAATGAACAAGAGGAAAGCGTTCTGGAGGGAGACCGACGTCGATTCACGGGCCAGATATGCCGAATAAGGGTTTCCATAATTACCACTAAATCGTACGAAGTTATGCGGGGACAGGAATGCACGAAAGTCAAGCGACACTTCGACACCAGACCATGGCACTTGATGGAACTTACCACGCGCAGTCGTTAACGGTTATGTCAGACGGCACACGGCCGGAGACACGATTGTCAAATGAATTAATTGTAAGCGAGGATTCGTTACTGGAGCTTATATTCCCGTACTGGGACATAAAAACAGGAAATTTTTTGAATAGCTAGACTACTATTAGTTTCTCACAAAAATGTGTTAATTTCTTTCAGGACGGATCTACGCAAAACACAAAAACGCAAATGGAACACAAAATACACTGGATTAACAACAGAGCGTCTATTATTTGGGAGGAAACACTTTCGAATGTCAAATGGAACGGCAGATGACCTGATCATAGCTTTTCGTGCCTTCCCTCAGTCTCTCCAAGATATTACTTGAACTGCACCTCAAAAGAGGCTACAGCTTCTTTCTGTCTCAATTCCTTTGAAATTCACCATTCACAGCCTCCATTTTACCGCATTAAAACATACGTACACTAAACTTGTATATGATATAACGTCATTAAATATCTAAGTACAAATAGCATACAAATAAAATAACCGAGAAACAGAGGCTTATATAACTTCGTATAATCGGAACAAAAATGAATTGCATGTAACAAGGACATGTGGGTCACAGCTGGAAGCAAAAATGAAGGCTCTCTTTTTGTTCAGACTTCGCATGTGTGACAATAATTGTTAGAAGCTGTCGACAAGATAAATTACACTGGACGCCATTAAACCACATTAAACCTGGCAAGTAGAAATTAATTATGTCATCAAGAGTTAAAAAAACAATTTGTAAACTGGTTTGCTGGGCGCGATATTTATGGTTTGGATTAGCATTTCAAATTCCTCTTAATCGAAAAATAAATGATATTCCGTAAAATAACGTTATTTTAACAAAATTATTAAGAAGAACATGGTAATGATCTGAGAGACTTTGTTAATAAAAGCGCGGAACTTAAATTTTTCTTCCATTAATTAATTTTAATTTTTTTTCTTTGATTTCTATGACGTTGTGAGCAGAAGATACAAGAAACTAACGAGGTCTATACACTCTCAGTCCTTTGTTTGTATACTCTATTTGTTTCACTCAGTCTTTTAGTCGAAAAGCTATTAGAGGTTTACACCAACGGACCTGATAAAGAGTTTTTTATGTTCATACACGAGCTAAAAACAAACACAAGCTTGCGGCTTGTAAAGCCAGGAATATTACTCGTGAGTTCGTGCGATAAGAGACGGACAGGGACCAGTTTACATTACTTAGCCGTGCGCCTTCGTCAGACATAATTATAATGATGCCAATTA